CACTGAGTGATAGTATTCATAGTGACGTTTCGATCCAGAATAGGGCATGTGAATAAATTGGGTCTGTTTGTGCCACGCAGTGTGATTTCCGTCGCGCCTGTTTGTCCATCAATCCCGCGTTCATCATTGGTTGTACAATCGTTGCGTAATGTTTATTGATATCCACGGGTCGTTTGAATGAGTTGGTCGAAAGCAGCGCTTCAAGGATCAGACATTCACCCTTCCTCTTTGCCCTTGCCACTACTTTTGCATCATTGATTCTGACCTCGTGACCTGTCGTTGCGCAGTGGTCCCAGTGGTTCAGGATCCTAGTACTATATACTACGTAACTACACCAGGGTTGTCTTCGAGATTCTTCCTCCGCACGTCAGGTGATGACGAAGCCCGTTCAATAATCCACAGTGGTGTGGGCATTGTACTGAATAATACAGCCGAAGCCGCACTACTCGATTGGATCCCCGTCAACAGCCGTTTATGCGCGATGCGGGTCTATCAGCGTCCGGATGGGAAGCAACACCAAAAGGTGTTTGTTCATCATTTCAGCGTATGCTCCGACCAACTGCAGTACTGACTCACAAAAGAACAATTTTCATGATAAACTCAGTGAACTCATTCGGTTGAGTCGAAGCTCCAACACAGTTATTCTCGCAAGTTGAAAAACTGGACTGGTTAGTGGCTGGACACCCTAGCAGTACCCGCTCGTCCATCAAACTCAAATGTATACACAAGCAAAAAATAATCCAATACTGCATCGGTCGTCGTGCCGGATAATCAGGACTGCGCTGCCCATTGCATCGAGCGGGGTGGGTAGTGATAAGTGGGCTACTGCTCAGATATCTCAACCTTTGATTAACTCTTTGTCTTCGGTACCCAACCCTCTCCTTTACCCTTTCTTCCAACCTGTAACATTCCCTCAGACAACTTGTTCGTCATTCGCCAAAGTTCGTTGCCAAGTAGCCCAGTAAATAGTTTACCACAAAACACAGTGCAGATTCTGAAGCCTCGTCAAACACTGAATCTGCGGGCCTTCAACGTGAGGACTTTGATGCAGGTAGGTCAACAAGCGTGTCTGGAGCGTACAATGGACTCTTTGGGGATTGATGTCTGCTGTCTGTGTCGGAAACTCGAATTCCACGTGACTGCAAATCTTTACCCTGCGTCAAGTCCTCGACCTACGCCATACGCACCGTCGACCAACGGTTGTCGGGTTCCTTGACCTAAAAGGAGCTTTCGACTCAGCTGATCGTGAATCCTTTATGGGTTCACTCCTTCGCAAAGAAATGCCGCGGAAGTATGTAAACCTATTGAGGTCGTTGTATCTCCAGACTTCTGGTAGCGTAAGGGTCTACGACAAGCTAGCTAGCTAACTAGCAGCGGTATTCGTCAAGGAAGCCCTATTTCGCTATTCCTGTTCAATTTCGTCATAGATGAAATACTGGAGAACGCACCAAGTGGTCTTCAAAATGCAGGTATTGAACGGGCAGCTGGAGAAAAGCTGTGCGATTTCGAGTACGCTGATGACATCGTATGCCTGT